GGGATATATCATTCTGGGTGTTCTATATGACCCTACTGATTCCTATGGCCTTACATTACTTAGTGCCCGTCACACTCTCTAGATTCTAGGCTACAAGGAATGTTTTGTTGTGAGGAGGCTGAGTCTTAGTAACTTCTCACAGTCATCCTGGTGCCTTGTAGGTGGAGGGGGCTCTCTGCCCAGTGCTGAAAAGCCTAGAGATTAGAGAGGCCATTCACGGAATTGCAAATGCCATGGTTGGTCTGTTCTGAAGACCAAGCTACCCACCATCTGGTTTGCCAGGGTTCGATGTCTGAGGACAGGTCTGATATAAACAACTTAGGAAAGATTTAGTTTGCTCATATTTGGGGAGGTTTTTAGCAAAGCGAAGCTTCTCACTTAATGATGCCTTAGAAGTAGAGGTAGAGGGAGGGAATGAGAATGAGAACAAATCTACATTCCTGGCATTCTGCTTTTTGCCTGTTTCTTTCTATCAGGATCCCAAAATCTGATGGTAGTGTTCTCATTTAGTGCCTATCTTCTCAAACTCTGTTAATTCTTCTTGGAACAACCCTTACTAACTTAACAGGAGTGCTTTCCTAATCTCCTAGCTGCTTCTCAATCCAATCCTATTGATATTCAATACATCCATCACAAGTTTTGTTAACTTGGAACCCCAAATTCTTCATAACTATATGATTCCACTCTTTGCCCTTTGGACTTTTGTCCATCTTCTCTAGTTCCCCACAGCAGCTCAAAATTTCTTCATACACTGGAGGAAAGCTCTTGTGAGTTCCTGTAAAGTCAAACACAGGTTACACCCCCCCCATGAGATAAAAATGTGATTAGATTGATGTCAGTATAACTTGTAGAGGAGATGGGGAAAAACCAGTTGTTTAAGGATACAGGTGGACCTGTTGCAACAATGAGATGTACAAGTTGTCATGTCCAAAACGAGCTTTACAACGTTGGTGCGGGGAGGGGGGGGAAGGGGGGGAAGGAGAAGGATTGGGATTAGGGGGGGAGGGGGGAGGCTGGGAAGGGATGTGAAGGTTAAGCAAAGGAGGAGGCTGCAATGCTTGGTAAGAAATGTACGCATTATCCTGCCCATGTAACTGTAACTCCTCTGTACAGTATGTTCACAAATAAAATTAAATTAAAAAAATTAAAAAAAATGTGATTAGATATTTCCATTCTAAAAGGGAGGAAAAGCCCTGCCTTAAGGTATTTTCATTTGCAGATGGCTAGAATTTAGCCAATTTCAGAGATATCCTGAAGACAACTTTATTTTGCTCTAGTGCATAGCAGTCCTTTCTTGTAACTGGTAGCCCAGAGACTTTTCTCTGTTGGTTGATTGGCTTTGAGCCAGGTTCCTGCTTTCTGACTAGCTAGGATTACAGACAAGAGACACTGGCACAAAGTTCTCAATTTCTTCTTTTTTTTTTTTGGGTCTGGTCGTGGGGCCTGACTCTGGGCTTGGGTGCTGTCCCTCAGCTCTTCAGCTCAAAGCTAGCGCTTTACCACTTGAGCCACAGCACCACTTCTGGCTTTTTTCTTTTTGCTTATGTGGTGCTGAGGAATTGAACCCAGGGCCTCAGGCATGCAAGGCAAGCGCTCTACCACTGAGCCACCTTCCCAGCCCTCAATTTCTTCTTATATGTACTAATTTCTTGTCTTTTTTTTCTTTTTTTTTGGGGGGGGGGGGTGTTCAGTCGTGGGGCCTGAACTCTGGGCCTGGGCACTGTCCCTCAGCTCTTCAGCTCAAGGCTAGCACTCTACTACTTGAGCCTGAAAGATTGAAATTGGGGCTACGTCCATTTTACAATATGGGCTATGTCCATTTTACAATATGCTAACTGCTAATTCTGCTTCTGTAAACCTGCTTGCACTAACACTGACTCTTCCCCTCCCAGAAATAAGTTAAAAAGTTACAAAGTCCAGATGCAGGCTGGCCCAGGGACAAGGTCTGCAAACATAGATAAAGAACAAAAGAGTATGTTCTCCTGAATTCCCGTGTAAAAACTCAGGGCAGGGGGCTCAAGACAAGGACCATCTGGTGAGCCCAGCAAACTAGGTCAAATGTCAATCATGTGGACTCCCCTCCAGAGAAGCCTCCCCCCTTAGAGAACCAACTAGTTTTCAAGAAGTGTTACAAAACTTCCCAAGCAGGCTGGAGTATATGATAATTTTTAAGCTGAGCCAATCCTGGGGAGCCTGGGGTCTTATGCTAATCCTGTGGTTTTTGTCTTTAAAAGTGCCTGTAACTGCTGCTGGGGCTTCCAGTTTGCCTTGGACAGGGAGCCCATTTGCGCAAACGCCTAATAAATTCCTCTTGCTTGTTGCATCTGCTGGTTTGGAGTCTTGGTTCTTGGGGTGTCCTCCCGTTGAAGAAAGCATCGCAGTGAGTCTGGGGTCTTTGAAGCCACAGCACCACTTCCGGCTTTTTTCTTTTTGCTTATGTGGTGCTGAGGAATCGAACCCAGGGCCTCAGGCATGCAAGGCAAGCGCTCTACCACTGAGCCACCTTCCCAGCCCTCTTGTCTTTTTTTTTTCAATTTCAACTTTTAAATTTAATTTTTTTAATTTTTTATTGTAAAGATACTATACAGAGGATTATAGTTACATGAGCAAGGTAATGAGTACACTTCCTATTGAGCATTGTTACCCCCCTCCATTGTTTTCCGCCTACCTTCCCTTAAATCCCTACCTTCCCCAAGGTTTTTTTTTTTAATTGTGATTAAGTGATTACATAATTTCCGGAATTTCACAGTATTGTGGAATAATGATGCTCATTTAGAGTCACAAGTTCATTCTAACTTTCCTGGAGCAAATTGTCTATCACAGTCTATAACATATAACGGTGTACACATATACACCATACATTGATCAGCAGCATGGGGATATTTAGTAGTGGTTCAACCAGATGAGTGGGAGTTCTTTGTTTCTTAAGTCCTATTAGTTTTGTCGTATCACCTAACATTTTGGATTTAGCATCCACTTATCAGGGAGACCATGTACCCTTTGTCTCTTTGCTCTTGGCTTACCTCGCTCAACATGATTCCTTCTAGCTCCATCCATTTCCCTGCAAATGCCATTATTTTGTCATTTTTTTTTTAATTTTTTTTTAATTTAATTTTATTTTATTTGAGAACATACTGTACAGAGGGGTTACAATTACATGGGCAGGATAATGCATACATTTCTTACCAAGCATTGCAGCCTCCTCCTTTGTTTACCCTTCACCTCCCTTCCCACCCTCCCCCCTCCCCCCGACCCAATCAAACCCCCCCCCCCCACACTCCGACATTGTAAAGCTGGTTTTGACATGACATTTTGTACTTCTCATTGTTGCAACTATTTTGTCATTTTAAATTTAATTTTTTATCTTCAAGTGCTTGTCCAAGTCTGTTACAACTTATAACTATGTGTATAGGGCATCTTGATCTGTCACCCCTTTCTTCATTCTCCTTCCCCAACAGCCATGAGAAGCTTCCCACTTTTGTTTTAACATATGTACTTGGGAATAAGAACTACATTTGCCTACCTTTGCTTTTCCATTCATCTTCCCCCATCCCACTAATTCCACATTCAAACATTTCAGCATTTGTATTTATTTAGTTGAATTCTTTGTGGAAATGGTTTTACTTTTGGTATATTATGCTTTAGTAAACTTGGTCAAGTATATGTGCACATGCCCCCATGTGTGTTTACATGGGAAGTGTTAGTTGTTGCCCAAGATGTTCATATGACAGAAAACATGTGCTCCTAGTCCTTGTGGGTAAAGGCACTAATTTATTTCCTTTCTACTCTTCAGTTCCTAAGAATGCCTGGGCTCCAGATCTCTCCCATGGGTGAGTGCATGAGACAGAAGCACATGAGCTTATGGTATACATATGTATATACTATATGTATATGTATTCTATGTGTATATGTATTTTATATATCTATGTATTCTATATATGTATAGATATAGCTATAGATATATATCTATCTATACATGTATCTACATATCTATACATAGTATAGTATATGTATTGTATATGTATTGGATATATCTACAAGTCTATACATAGTACACAACATACATATGTATATATGCATACATGTACTATGTATAGGATATAGAAACACATAGTATATATATATACTATAGTATATATATAGTGTATATATACATATGTATATAAGTGTATATATATGCATATACATACACATTGTGCTAGTATATGGTACTAGCATATATATATATTACGATGCTAGTATCTATATCCATATTATATAGTATATATAGAGATATATATACTATACATATAGATAGTATAGATAGTATATATATATATATGTCTATATCTATAATATATAGATACATGTATATACATGTATACACACTATAAGGTGCATCAAAAGGTATAGTTAGAAAAAGAAATGTGCGGGGGCTGGGAAGGTGGCTCAGTGGTAGAGCGATTGCCTTGCACGCTCGAGGCCCTGGGTTCGATTCCTCAGCACCACATAAGCAAAAAGAAAAAAGCCGGAAGTGGCGTTGTGGCTCAAGTGGTAGAGCGCTAGCCTTGAGCTGAAGAGCTGAGGGACAGCGCCCAGGCCCAGAGTTCAGGCCCCACGACCGGACCCAAAAAAAAAAAAAAAAAAATGTGCGGATGATTGCCATGATCACCGTATGAAAACTAGAAATTTATATGCAAGCTTATTTAGTGCTGAATTTTGTAGTTGGTCTCAGAGGAAAACCAGGATTTCCAGGAAGTACTTCCACTCACCTGGCCCAGGTGGGATAGTTAGGTCCCCACACACCTGCGGCAGGCCACGGACCTCCAGTCACAGGTTGAGTAAGAAACCTACATGTCCACTTCCTCCCGTATGACGCAATGCATAGTGGGAAATGTAGTCTCCTCTCGGGCACAGAACCATTGGGCGGGGCTCTTTCAGGCTCCTCCCGTGCTTGCGCTTCCGCGCCCATTTAGGGCATCTTCCGCTCAGAAATTCCGGTTCCTGGCGTTGTGCCGCCCTCCTGGGAAGTTTCCGAAGTAAAGTTCAGTGTTGTGAGTGCCGGAGCCCGGGTGGCAAGAGGCCCCGCCGTGCCTGGCGAACCTGGGGACCTGAAATGTGAGTGGATGGCAGGCAGGCAGGAAAACGGGCTGCAGGCGGCAGCTGGAGCCGGGCGGGTAGCCTGGAGGCTCCACGCACTGCTGGGTCCCTCCGGTCTGGGTGACTGTGCCTGGGGTCGTGATTGCTTTGTCAGAGTCGGTTCTGCCAGAATCAGTGTCCTTCCAGGTGCCGGAACCTAGCTGGCTCGGGAAGGCTCGCGGGCAGGCTAGAAGGTTGTCCAGACTAGGAGAGCTGGGGAGGCCTGCGCTTCTGTTCCACGCCTGATTCTGCTGTGAACCGAGGTGACATCCTCATTGCTCTTGCCCTGCTGAAAGATGGACGCAGTCACAACTGTAGTGCAGTTGTGAAATGTGTGTTGGACGAGTCATGTGATATGGCTGTGGAATTACCGTGGTTCTGTGTTGTTTCTTCTAGGAACGTTTCTAATTCCCTCCTACACCACGTAACCCGCTTAGCACTCCTGGCTCCAGTTTACACATGTTTGTACACGACCTAGTTTCTAGAGAAAGTTGTTTATAGGATATTGGAGAACTGGCTGATGGACTTGTATTCTTTGGAATTAAGTAAGCATGGTAAATTTGAAGGAGGGCAGATTCTGAATAGGAGTGTGCATCCTGAAAGAACGAACACTTGCTATCCTAAAGGGCAGAGGCAGAGAAGCACAAGAAGGAAGAATCTCATTAACTTAGTAATTATTGCCGCTGCTTTCCATAGCACAAGATTCACGTGGGACTCTTCTGCAAAGCTCTCAACTCTCCAACTTGGCGAGAGGAGAAGTGAGCTAGACTGAGGATGAGCCAGAGCTGAATTCTCAGAGGGGTAGGAGGCAGTGGTTTGTGGTTTGTAGTGGAGAGACACCTTGTCACACCTGAAAGAATCTGTCTCTACAAGTACCCTAATTCCAGTCTCATTGATTCAGTCAACTCCAGTATCATTTCTAGAATGCAAGCTCTCTCAAACGTATCTTGTTATTAAATATGCCTTTTAGAGATGTACTGGTATTTGGTTTTACCTGATGATTTGTCTGACAATTCAGGAAATGCTTGCTAGGGACCTTCATGCTTTATAACAAAAATGATAAAATAAAACTTAAGTTGATATAGCTAGCTCAAGATTGTATGGTTTGTAGATGTTAAGTAACCCGAAGATTTAGCTAGTGTTACCCATTTTGTTAAAATCTCTCAAAAGTAGTATTTTTTCAGTTTAGGGATTTTTTTTAGGGGGGGGGTCAGTCATGGGGCCTGAACTCTGGGCCTGGGCGCTGTCCCTCAGCTCTTCAGCTCAAGGCTAGCGCTCTACCACTTGAGCCACAGCGCTTTCTTTTTCTCCACAGCTTTTTTCTTTTTGCTTATGTGGTGCTGAGGAATCAAACCCAGGGCCTCAGGCATGCAAGACAAGCACTCTACCACTGAGCCACCTTCCCAGCCCCTAGGGATTTTTTTTGAAGAGAGGGAGGTGATTGAAGTCAATGTATCACAAACATTGCTTCAAAATACTTTACTTGAAATATGTTGATTTTATTTCCTTTCTTTTTTTCTTTTCTTGTCTTTTTTTTTTTTGTCATTCATGGGGCTTGAACTCTGGGCCTCGGCGCTGTCCCTGAGCTCTTCAGCTTTAGGCTAGTACTCTACCACTTGAGCCAGTGCCACTTCCGGTTTTCTTGTGGTTCATTGGAGATAAGAGTCTCATGGTCTTTCCTGCCTGGGCTGGCTTTGAACCTCAATCCTCAAATCTCAGCCTCCTGAGTAGCTAGGATTACAGGCATGAGCCCAGCGCCTGGCTAACGATTACATTTTTAAATGGGAATTCTGTAACATGAAACTAAAGTTTTTGCTGTATGGCTGTCCAGAATTGAAAACAAAATAAAAACATACTCCCCTATGAAATCTATGAAAATTCCAGTCCTCTAATTGAGATATTTAGCCTATAACAAATTTATTTTATTCTACTTATTTTTGTTGGTTGTGGAGCTTGAACTCACGGCCTGAGTGCTGTCTCTGAGCCTCTTTGTGTTCAAGGCTAGCCCTCTACCACAGTACCACTTCCAGCTTTTGAGTGGTTAATTAGAGATAAGAGTCTCACGGGGACTTTTTGCCCAGGTTGACTTCTAACTGCGATCCTCAGATCTCAGCTTCCTGAGTAGTTAGGATTACAGGTGTGAGCCAACAGTGCCCATCTATTTTATGTTTTGTGAAGTTAAAAAAAATCTTTATTGTGATGGAGAAAATGTTAAGACTAAAATGCATATGTTGCTTTTTATTTTGTTTCGTTTTTTATCGGTTGTGGGGCTTGAACTCTGGGCTTGGGCGCTGTCCTTGTGCTCTTCAGCTCAAGGCAAGCGCTCTACCGCTTGAGCCACAGCACCACTTCCCACATGTTCCTTTTTAATGATTCACTTAGTGTTTACTACTAGCAGCAACCTCAGTGAATTCCCCATAATAGACTTTCATGATGATTTGGATTTTTCCTCCTTGTGGCTGGAAAGTTCACTTCATATTATCCCAAAACTTTGTCTCCTACATGATTTTGTTTAAAAAACACAGAGATGTGGATGATATCAGCATTTCCTATGTAGTAAACCACCCAGCACATACGGCCCATGATAGAGCATATGGAGAAGAAAGAAGGAAAGAAAGAAAGGGAATGGATGCAGTGAGGAAGGCAGGGAAGTATGGAACAGAGATAAGAAGGAAGGAAGGTATTTTGAGAAAAAGTGATCTTTTTGATCCAAGTGGGTTGCTTAAAAGTTCTTGACTTGTGCCGGGCACCGGTGGCTCACGCCTGTAAGCCTAGCTACTAAGGAGGCTGAGATATGAGGATCACAGTTCAAAGCCAGCCCAGGCAGGAAAGTCCAAGAGCCAGCAGAAATTACTAGTGATAGCATCCAAAACCAACCATCCTGAGTAAGGAAACCAGATGATTAAGGCCTAATCTTCTAAAGAAACAATCCTAACAGAAATGGAATAATGAGTCCAGCCAAAAATATAGCTCCACAAAACTTTAAACAAGTGAAATGGCGGGATGTTTCGCTGTGTGTGCTGGCTCCTGTATATCCAGCAGAATAGCAAGGTTCTTCACAGTATAATTGTGTTCAGGGAGGCAGGCAGTAAGGAATTTTTCAAACTTTTGTTCCCATATTCATTGATATACGTTTGCCTAAAGCAAGTTAAATGGCAAATCCAGACCAAATGCTTCAGGCTACTTTGGGTAGAGAAAGATATGCTATCTGGGAGCCATTATTGGAAGAGGAAGCCACAAGAAATATATATTCTATATATTTTTTCCCTAAATTCTGAGTGAAAAATCTTAAGTTGTAACAAACATGCTTTCCCTATTCCAAAACAGAGTGAAATATTCAATAGAGTCTTATGTGATATCCTTACATTAACAGGAAAATAACTCATACTTTCCTAAGTGCATTTCTGTAATTATTAATATCAATAAAGATATTGTATCTTTCTTTGATTTATATTATTTATTTTTGAGGGAACATTAATTGTTCCCTCATCTAGAAATAAATTACATTTATGATATCTACCAATTAATGTTCTGTGGATACATCTTTAATAGAGAATATATTGTGTCTACTTCAGCCATGAAAGGGTCTTCTCCCACAGGAAGGTCTTTTTTTTTTTTTTCCCCTTCCCGTGTGTAGTGTCTTGAGCAAGAATCTGGGACAAAGCCACATTGGCTCTTTCCTGACTCCATTTTATTTGCCTTCTCTCCCAGCTATACTCTCAAAATCTTCTCTACATTGTCAACAGCAACAGAAAAATGAATGGATCTCTGGTGAGTTGCTTTCATTTATTTCTTTGCTTTTTAGGAACTTTTAGTAAACTTAGTGGGGTCCAAGAATTAAAATGGAAAAATAGAAAAGATTTAGTCTCAGGAAAAATGTTCATAAATAAAATAAAGATGGCTTGTAGATTTAACAGATTATGAAATCTTGAGTCAGTTTAAGTTGAGTGCAAATTTATCTCAAATTTGTTTTCCATGTTTCTGATGTGAGAAAGAGTAGTTATACATAATCCAGTGACACCTAGGAACTCAGCATGCTAACATCTTATGGAATGCAAATATTTGTTGGCCATTGGTCTGAAAAATCATCCTCATTCATTATACAATAAACTATCTTAATGATGTTAAACTGTGTTAGTGACATTTTTCTGGAATTACTGAATTAATGTGATCCCAAACATCTCTGAATGTTAGAGTCCTGAGTAAGCTATATACTCAAATGACTGTCCACACATAACCCTTGGTTGGTGTGTATTTTCTGTAAGGAATGCAATAGACTGCATAGAGTTGCATGTTTTTCCAAAAGCTCATTAGTGACTAAAATTACAGTCTTTTTAGTGTTGTTTTTTTAACTTGAACTTATGCTATATTTGATGATGTTGTCCATGGCCTTTCTGTGTGTGTGTGTGTGTGTGTGTGTGTGTTGCAGGTCATGGGGCCTGAACTCTGGGCCTAGGCTCTGCCCCTCAGCTTTTCAGCTCAAGGCTAGCACTGTACCACTTGAGCCATAGCACTACTTCTGGTTTTCTGTTGGTTTATTGGAGATAAGAGCCTCATGGACTTTCCTGCCTGGGCTGGCTTTGAACTGTGATCCTCATATCTCAGCCTCCTTAGTAGCTAGGCTTACAGGCGTGAGCCACTGGTGCCCGGCACAAGTCAAGAACTTTTAAGCAACCCACTTGGATCAAAAAGATCACTTTTTCTCAAAATACCTTCCTTCCTTCTTATCTCTGTTCCATACTTCCCTGCCTTCCTCACTGCATCCATCCCCTTTCTTTCTTTCCTTCTTTCCTCTCCATATGCTCTATCATGGGCCGACTTCTTCTCACTCCAGTTTTCCTTCTCTTAGGACACTTTCTGAACTGACTTTCTCTTATATCTTATATAAGAAAATCACTAAAGTTACCATCTGCAATCAAATAGATTTTTCCTAATTTCATTCTATTAGGTCTAACCTCATTTAATGTGATGCTGTTTTTTTTTTGCTTGCTCTTCTCACATTATTGAATATTTTCATCCATTGGATGTATAAGAACAGAAGCTGAAGCCAGGCGCTGGTGGCTCACGCCTGTAATACTAGCTACTCAGGAGGCTGAGATCTGAGGATCGCGGTTCAAAGCCAGCCCGGGCAGGAAAGACCGTGAGACTCCTATCTCCAATAAACCACCAGAAAACCGGAAGTGGCGCTGTAGCTCAAGTGGTAGAGCGCTAGCCTTGAGCTGAAGAGCTGAGCGACAGCGCCCAGGCTTAGCGTTCAAGCCCCACGACCGACAAAAAAAAAAAAAGAACAGAAGTTGATAGTTCTGGTAAACTATTGACTTGGTTTATTACATTAGAGGTGTCACTGTTCACAAATCTGGAGGACATTTACTCAGTAATAAGGTTTGGGCTCTCAGGAACTCTGCTTTGAGCCAATATTTATGGCAACATCTCCTTAGAACTCTGCTGGGTGAAAGCATTTAGGAGTTAGTGGAACACATTTGTAATGCAGTCAATGAAAAGTTATACAAGGATAAAATCAAAATGCATAGAGTCTTAACAACTTTTATCTCTATCCTGTGTATTTGTTCATAACTGTTCAAAGTTTGTATTATGTCATTGCATTTCCACTAACTTTGACAACATGTTTTTCAAATTCTATTTCTCTCGCTCTTTTTTTTTGGGGGGGGGTCCGGTTGTGGAGCCTGAACTCTGGGCCTAGGCGCTGTTCCTCAGCTCTTCAGCTCAAGGCTAGCACTCTACTACTTGAGCCACAGCGCCACTTCCGGCTTTTTTCTTTTTGCTTAAAATAGTGCTGAGGAATCGAGCCCAGGGCCTCAGGCATGCAAGGCAAGCGCTCTACCACTGAGCACTGAGCCACCTTCCCAGCCCTTCTCTCTCTTTTTTGCTGCCAGTCCTGGGGCTTAAGCTCACAGCTGGACACTGCCCTTAATACTCTCCCACTTGAGCCTTGGCTCCACTTTCAGCTTTCCGCTGTTTAATTGGAGATAAGAGTCTCATGGACGTTTCTGTCTGGGCTGAATTCAAACTGCCGCTCTCAGCTCTCAGCCTCCTGACTTGCCATCATTGCAGATGTGAGCCACTGATGCCCTTCTTTCAAACTCTTCTAAATTTCTTTTTTTCTTTTTCCTTTGTAATTTCCATTAATTACTTAAAGTCAATAAGGAAAATAGATACATACATCACATATATTTCTGATATAATTCCTATAACCTAATATTTGTCACATTACTCTTTCAGTGTTGTTTTTTTGTTTTTAATCAGTCATGGGTCTTGAACTCTAGGCCTAAGCACTGTCCCTCAACTCTTCAGCTCAAGGCTAACACTCTGCCACTTGAGCCATAGCACCACGTCTGGTTTTCTGGTGGTTTGTTGGGAGATAAGAGTCTCATGGACTTTCCTGCCTGGGCTGACTTTGAACTGTGATCCTCGGATCTCAGCCCCCTTAGTAGCTAGGATTACAGGCAAGAGCCACTGGTGCCCGGCTTATGTTAATTTGAAGACAGGTTTGCTGTGTAGTACAAGTTGTTTTGTTTTGTTTTGTTTTCTTTCTTCTTTTTTTTTTTTTTTGTCGGTCGTGGGGCTTGAACTCTGGATCTGGGCTCTTCAGCTCAAGGCAAGTGCTCTACCACTTGAGCCACAGTGCCACTTCCGGTTTTCTGGTGGTTTATTGCAGATAAGAGTCTCACGGACTTTCTTGCCCAGGCTAGCTTTGAACCATGATCCTCAGATCTTAGCCTCCTGAGTAGCTAGGATTACAAGCATGAGCCACCAGCTCCTGGCAAAGCTTTTCTTAACTTGATATATAGCATAGGCTATCTTGTAATCTTGCTTCAAACTCCCATAATCATGGATTTTAGGTATTTATTTCCATGCCTGGCAACATCATCATCATCATCATCATCATCATCATCATCATCATTATTATCTTGAGCTCAGGATCTGACACTGATTTTTGGCTGGATTTTACCATGTGAGCCATGCCTCCAATCCCACTATTCTTAAATGTACAGTTTATTGATATTGCATATATTATATTGTTGTGCAACCTGCTTTTCCATAATGTTTTTCTATAATATTTTTCTTCTTCCTTGTATGAAGCTGTATATATTCATGAAATATGCAGTTCCCATTCTACCCCAGTCTCTTGCGATCATCATTCTACTTTTTTGTCTCTATGCATTTGTTGACCCTGGGAACCTCAGTACAGGAAATTCTACCATGGCTGTTCTTTGTGTGTGTGAGAGAGGGTGGGAGGGCAGGGGTGAGTGAGAGAGGGAAAGTGGGGATAGGGGAGAAGAGTGAGGGGTCATGTGTGCCAGTCTTGGCATTTGATCTTAGGGACTTTCCTTGAACTTTCCTCAAGGCTAGCATGCTACCACTTCAACAACAACTCTACATATATCTTTTTTAGTAGTTAATTGGAGGTAAGAGTCTCAGAGACTCTGCTACCCAGACCGCCTCCAAATCACAATCCTCAAATCTCAGCCAGGAATACAGGTTTGAAGCACTGGCACGCAACTTAACATGGCTGTCCTTTTGTGACTTGTGTGTTTTTTTTAGCTAATTGTGTTCATGATTCATCAATGCTATAGCATGTATTAGAATTTCATTTCTTTTTAAAAATCTATCTATTGGTGGATGAGTGGTTTGTTTCTGTCTTTGGTTATTGTAATTGCTATGAAATTATTCTCCCAATACCTGTTCAAACCCCTGCTTTCTCTTTGGTTGGATACAAAGCTAGAACTGCTAAACCATATTTCTGTGTACTTCTATATTTAGTTCTTGTTAGCGTCTTTGACCATTTTTCACTCCTGCCAGAAATCCACCAAATTTCATACTTTTCCACATCTCTGTCATAGTTTTGGAGTTTTTATTTTTAATGTATGCATAGTACTGACGTAAACTAGGCATTTCATTGTGATTTTTTATTTGAAAGTTTCTTTTGTTACTACTAATATTGAACACCTTTTAATTAACCATTTATCTATATTACTTTGGGAAGGTCTCTTCCCCATATTAAAATCCATTTTCTTTTTTTTTTTTTTTTTACTCCCCACCAGTCCTGGGGCTTGAATTCAGGGCGTGAGCACTATATCTGAGCTTTCTTTTGCTCAAGCCTAGCATTCTACCACCTGAAACACAGCACCACTTCTTTTCTGTTTATGTGGTACTGAGGAATTGAACCCAGGGTTCACCATTAAGCCACATTCCCAGCCCTTTATTTGTTTTTTTTTTTTTTTTTGTCGGTCGTGGGGCTTGAACTCTGGGCCTGGGTGCTGTCCCTCAGCTCTTCAGCTCAAGGCGAGCGCTCTACCACTTGAGCCACAGCGCCACTTCCCCTTTATTTGTTTTTGAGTTACAGAATTTTATTTTATAATCTTTTAAATGAATTCTGTTTATTAATCTATTAAGAGATATAAGCAAATATTTTTTCAAATTTCATAAATGCATTTGTCATTGGGCCTTTCATGTACCATGTTTTAATTGTATATATTTGACCTTGTCTGTTTTTTTTTTTCTTTTTGCTTATGTGGTTTCTGAGGAATCGAACCCAGGGCCTCATGCATGCAAGGCAAGTGCTCTACTACTGAGCCACCTTCCCAGCCCCCTTGTCTGGTTTTTGTACCATGCACTTTTGGTGTTATATCCAAGAAATAATTGTCAAATTTAATGAAACTCTTTCTTCTTCATACTGTTTTTTTGTTTTTTGTTTTTTTTGTTGATCTTAGGGGCTGAACTCTAGGCCTGGGCACTGTCCCTCAGCTCTT